TTCTGAATCCTCCTAGTGCAGAAATAAAACTCCTGCTACCAGCTTTAACCAGTGCTCAGCTGGACATTGATAGAAGTCACAAGACTGCTATATACTGCTGATGAGAAAAGGTATTTAGCAGTTTATATTTATTAAAGTAATTGCATTTCCATGTTCTGTGTAATGTGGGAGACTGGATATAGTGAATGCAGGGTCCTGGGTTTAGTAAAACTTTAAGCAAATGGATATTGCACTGCTACTGGGAACACAAATACAGATATCCTACACACAACTTAGGGTTCAGTATCAAAAATTAAAAATCAGACTTGTTAGTGGTAAAGGAACCCAATATAATATCACAGGTTGCAGTAAATAGCGGTATGCATATTAAATCACAGTTCACTATTATTATTATTATTATACAGGATTTATATAAGCGCCAACAATTTGCGCTGTGCTTTACAATATAAGGGAGACAGTACAATTACAATACATTTCAGTACCGAAGGAATTGGAAGAGCCCTGCCTCGTGGAGCTTACAATCTAAAGGAAGGGGGGGGGTGATACAAAAGGTGATAACTGCGGAGGATGATCTGGTGGAGGTGATTCAAGTACAGTTCTTAGGTGGAGGTGGGGTAGGCTTCCTTGAAGAAGTGAGTTTTCAAAGATCGCCTAAAGGCAGACAGGGTGGGGGCTGACAGGACATGCTGTAGTAGGGAGTTCCAGAGGATGGGAGAGGCTATCTGAGAAGTCCTGGAGGCAAGCGTGGGAGGAGGTGATGAGGGAGCTAGAGAGGGGGATATCATGGGAGGAGCAGAGTGGGCGATTTGGGCAGTATCTGTGGATGAGGTTGGCGATGTAGCTAGGGGCAGTGTTGTGGATGGCTTTGTAAGCTGTGGTTAGTATTTTGAATTTTATACGTTGGGTTAGTGGAAGCGAGTGAAGGGATTAGCAGAGAGGGGCAGCACTAGGCAGTATGTTCGCTAGGCTATCAAAGCAGGTAATCCACACAATCATCAATAAGTAATGGCAGTAGAAAACATTAACAACAATGATAAGCAATACTGTGATACTCCTCTGTAAACTGTAGATTATATCCACTTCTAAGTGCACTCTATATGAATGGCATCAATAAAATGCAGGACTCCCTAAAGAGATACCTCTTACTATGAACAACAGGCAAAGTTCTTGTGAATCTTATTGAGCAATCTTTAGCACTAGTTCTTTAGCCAGCTAGAGCTGGGGCCCAAACTTTCTAGTGGTGCACATGAGTACAGTCCCAGTTCCAAGTTTGCATGCAGTAAAGAATGCTGCTAGTTAGATGGCCAGTCTCTATGAGCTCTGTCTCTGCTAGCTGCAACAGGTTGATGGCAACAGTGTCCTCTCACCAGTCCCAGCAAAACAGCAACAGGGGTCTTACTGTTCAGATGCCAGTTCACTTCTGGATCTGCCTGGAGCAACTCCAGTCCTCAGCACATGGCCACAGGTTGATGTGCACAGAGCAATGTGAACACCTCAATCTCCTCACAGCAAAGAGGCATTCCCTTTGTATTTAGCCTGTGAAAATACAGCTCTATTCTTTATACCCGACTCACATTGTAGTTCTATAGTTCATTAACTCACATAGCATGATCCGTCCCCTGCACTATATCTCCCATAATTTAATGCTGCCCACCATCAAGTCTCTTGTGCCTCTTCTGCTTGACAGCTTCCCCTGGTGGATGGAGGGGGGGTAGCATTAACCCAAGCAGCTAAAGTCCATTGGGAGCACAGTGTCCTAAATCACTGTCTGGTCTCTAGCCAAGCATCTGGCTACACAAATATCCCCAATTTTTCTAAAAAAAGGTTAGTGCTATAGCCCTCAGATATGGTTGGGTAAAAATTGACCACTGGAACCATAGTTTGAAGACAGCTGTAAGAAAAATCCACTATGTATCAGAACAAGGAATGACTTTTGCATGCTTATGTGCATGCTCATAATTCTGAGCAAAGGCTCACTGCAACACGTGTGTATTAGCATGCACTCACATACGTATTAGCGTGCAGGTGTAGGCTCACATGCACGCCTGGCACTGGCATTGGTTCCAAAAGGCTTATTTAACCACCTCCTGCCCGCCATATAAGGAAATTATGGGCAGGAGGAGGTTCTCTCGTTCTGGGAGGATGCCTATGACATCCTCTCACTCTAACTGAGCAAGCATGCCTCCGGGGGCGCACGTGATCGGTGGTGCGCTGTGTCTCTGGGACACAGTGGATCACTGATTAGAGTAAAGAGCCGATGACATCAGCTCTGTCATGTGATCAGCTGTGTCCAATCACAGCTGATCGCATGTAAACAAGGAAATGCCGGTTATCGGCTTTCCTCTCCTCATGCTGATGGCACGTGAGAAGAGGAGAGCCAGTAATCAGCACTTCTCAGAGGGGACACCTACACACTGATCATCTGGGCACTGATGATCAGTGCCCTGATGATCAGTGTAGCCCCATCAGTGCCACCTGTGCCACCTGTCAGTGCCCATCAATGCCACAAAACATCAGTGCCACATCAGTGCACATCAATGCCACATATCAGTGCCCATCAGAGCTGCCTTTCAGTGTCAACCATGAGTGCCAGTCAGTGCCACATATCAGTGCCAGTCAGTGTTGCATATCAGTGCCAGTCAGTGCCGCCTATCAGTACCGTCAATCAGTGCCAGTCAGTGCCACCAATCAGTGCCTGTCAGTGCCGCCTATCAGTGCCCATCAGTGCTGCCTATCAGTGCCTGTCAGTGCCACCAACAGTTCCAATCAGTGCCGCCTAACAGGTACAATCATTGCCGCCTATCAGTGCCAGTCAGTGCTGCCTATCACTACCACCTATCAGTGCCCATCAGTGCCGCCTATCAGTGCCATATATGAGTGCTGCCTTTCAGTGCCCATCAGTGATGCCTGTCAATGCCCACAAGTGATGCCTGTCAATGCCCATCAGTGCCTCGTCATCAGTGACGCCAATCAGTGCCCATCAGTGCAGCCTATCAGTGCCCATCACTTCTGCCTCATTAGTAGTGCACATCAGTGAAGGAGAAAAATTACTTATTTACAAAATTTTATAGCAAAAACTAAGAAAAAACTTTTTTTCCCCAAAATTTTTAATATTTTTTAGTTTGTTTATCAAAAAATGAAAAACCCAGACGTGATTAAATACCACCAAAAGAAAGCTCTATCTGTCTCAAAAAAATGATAAAAATTTTGTTTTCCTACAGTGCTGCATAACCCTGCAATTGTCATTCAAAGTGTGACAGCATTGAAAATTGGCCTGGGCAGGAAGGGGGAGAAGTGCTGAGTAGGCAAGTGGTTAAGCTGGATTGTGACATGGACAGATTGCTGAGTGGTCTTCAGCTAGTTCTTGCTTTACCTGTGCCTTGACCTGCTATATTCGCCTTCCCGTGCACTACCCAGCTTGCCTCAGAACTGTCTTCGAATTCCTGTGTACCTGTTGTCCTGTCACCTCTAAAATAAACGTCACGCTGCAAAACAGTTAATTGACCGCCGTGAGGCCCGCTTAAGTGAGACAGGGCTCTTAATGCTGCCTGAGCACAGCAGCGTTAACCAGTTTGGCTCCAGAGCTTTTTTTTTCACAAACATGTAAAAATCTAAATTTTAACAGTAAAATTAATTAAACCCCCAAAACATTATACGTTTTCTGAAAGCAGAGGCCTTGTAGAATAAAAAGAGGATATTTGCTCATTTTTATGCCACATGATATTTGCTCAACTGTTTATTAAAAGCACATTTTCAGGAAAAAATTAAATGAAATGAATTTTAGTGCAAAACACACAATCGAATACCCATTTTTGGTTAAAATATAAAAGATGAAGTTGCTTTGCGTAAATAGATATCAAACATTCCTTGTAAAAATGCGTGCGAACGCGATATCGCCAAAAACTATGGAGCCCAAAAAAAAAGGCTTTAGAAGCCTTTACAGCTCATCAGTTTAGCATTAACTAGAAGCTATTGTGCTAGAATTATTGTTCTCACTCTGATGTTCGCGGCGATATGTCACACGTGTTGTGTAACCGCGGTTTACATACGCATGCACACACTGGGCTTGCGTTTGTGCAGGTGTGCGGGGCAACAGGGGTCACGGCAATTTTTTAAAAATTATTTTAATATATTTTTTTATATGTTTTATTTTTAAAACTATTTTTCTTTTTTTTTTTTTTTTGCTTGATTGCTATCACAAGGGTTACTAAACCTCTATGTGATAGCAGCAGGTGACAGGTACTGTTTATGGACACATTAGGGGTCTATTAGACCCTAATGTCTCCCCTGCCCTTCACACCATCTCAGGCATGTAGTAAAATAGATGGTGAACAACATTTATTGCTGCATTTCAATGACCCTAAAATAAAAATAATTGTAACCGCTCTGGAAAAAAAAAATAAAAGAGCAAAACAAAGTGGCATCTACAGTGGGAAAATCTGAATCTCATTAATACATTTTTTCAGGTTCAGAGCCATTTAAAAATGAAGATACTGGCAGCTGAAGGTGTTTACCTAGCAAAGCAGTCAGATGCAAAAGATGAAAGAAATACTGATGTAGTAATGGGTATATAGAACAAGAAATCCCTCTAATGGAGATACATGCATCAATAACTACAAAAAATTAATACAACAATTATCTTTAATTAATGCACATAAAAATATTTTATACCTACTGTTAAAATCATTTAAAAATCACTTCCAGTTTGGCATTTTGCATATGCCTAAAGATCTAAATAGGTATCAGCATACCACAGAAAACAGAAACATTTCTGTAATGCTTTATGTATGTGGAATGCTATTTAGTTTGCATTAGCACCACAATGCACATATGCAACGAAGCAGCGCAACAATGCACTATAACTTTTCATTTTGTCACATTGCTGCGGTAATGCCATGTTCAATAAATTGCGTCCTTACAAACTAGTAGCACTATTTTTGAGGAAGGTAAAACACATAACCATCAATTCATATACACTATATTGCAAAAAGTACTGGGACCAGGGGCGGACTGACAACTCATGGGGCCCCCGGGCAATAGGGGATCATGGGGCCCCTGTGTCCTTGCCCAAACTCAAAAAAGCCTATGAAAAAGGTACCAGGAGCATCTCATGGGGCCCCCTACTGACCCTGGGCCCTCGGGCACTGCCCGAGTTTCCAAATGGTCAGTCCGCCCCTGACTGGGACGCCTGCCTTTACATGCACATGAACTTTAGTGGCATCCCACTCTTAATCCGCATGGTTCAATATTGAGTTGGCCCACCCTTTGCAGTTATAATGGCTTCAACTCTTCTGGGAAGGCTGTCCACAAGGTTTAGCAGTGTGTCTATGGGAATGTTTGACCATTCTTTCAGAAGTACATTTGTGAGGTCAGGCTCTGATGTCGGACGAGAAGGCCTGGTTCACAGTCTGTACTCTAATTCATCCCAAAGGTGTTCTATCGGGTTGAAGTCAGGGTTGAAGTCAGGACTCTGTGCAAGCCAGTCAAGTTCCTCCACCCCAAACTCGCTCATCCATGTCTTTATGGACTTGCTTTGTGCACTTTCATGTTGGAACAGGAAGGGGCCTTCCCCAAACTGTTCCCACAGAAATGTTGGGTGCATGAAATTGTCCAAAATATCTTTGTATGCTGACACCTTAAGAGTTCCCTTCACTGGAACTAAGGAGCCAAGCCCAACCCCTGAAAAATAACCCCATACCATAATCCCCCTCCACCAAACTTTACACTTGGCACAATGCAGTCAGGCAAGTACCGTTCTGGCAAGCGCCAAACCCACACATGTCCATCAGATTGCCAGACAGAGAAGCGTGATTTGTCACTCCAGAGAACATGTCTCCACTGCTCTAGAGTCCAGTGGCGGCATGCTTTACACCACTGCATCCGACGCTTTGCATTGCACTTGGTGATATAAGGCTTGGATGCAGCTGCTCAGCCATGGAAACCCATTCCATGGAGCTCTCTACACACTGTTGTTGTGCTAATCTGAAGGCCACACGAAGTTTGGAGGTCTTTAGCTATTGACTCTGCAGACAGTTAGCGATTTCTGCGCACTGTGCGTTTCAGCATGCGCTGACCCCCTCTGTAATTTTTCGTGGCTGAGTTGCTGTTGTTCTCAGTTGCTTCCACTTTGCTATAATACAACAGTTGACCGTGGAATATTTAGTAGCAAAGAATTTTCACGGAAGGAATTGCACAGATGGCAACCTATCACGGTACCATGCTTGAATTCACTGAGCTCCTGAGAGCGACCCATTCTTTCACAAATGTTTGTAGAAGCAGTCTGCGTGCCTAGGTGCTTGATTTTATACACCTGTGGCCATGGAGGTGATTGGAACACCTGAACCCAATGATTTGGAGGGGTGTCCTAATACGTTTTGCAATATAGTGTAGCCTCATGAGTTTTGCAACATATGTTTTTTGTCTTAGCCTGTTAAATATTTTGCATCAAATGGTTCAAGTCACAAAAAATGCATAGTCATGGAATAGATTTTTTTTTCCATTTAACATTTAACTATTGAAAGCTGGTATTTCTCATGAATCATTATTTTACCTCTGGAGGTGCTTCCTCACAGAAACTGATTGTTGACAACAGCTGGAACAGGTAACAGCATTTAAAGCAGCAAAAATCTGCACAATAATCTTTTTGAATTGATTTTTTACATATAGAATACTACAAAAACTGTTTATATGTGCGTGTGAGTAAATCAGCAGGTCTGCAATAAAATTCCATTTACTTGAAGCATCTGTGAATTGATGCTATAGAAGGAGATATACGAGCATACATACACTTGCTGTCAGGCATTGCTTTCACAAGCTTTTCAATATACTGAGCGCCTGATGTCAACATTATTAATACAACGAACATCCTTGACTGCCACCATAATCCTCAATCATTGCATGAGCTGAGGTTAGCTCGCCAAGTCCCAATCAGCTAAAAATGTGCTTTTAGCTGGATGAGATGGCGCAAGCATTCCCAGCATCCTCCCTCCCCCCCACCCCACGCACAACCTTTCTCCTCCTTCCACATGGCTGAAAAAAGCCAGATCATAGGACTAGTGTAGAGCCCTTTAACAGCCAACAAAGAGGCAGGATAAAAATAATAAGTGATTCTCATTTTTTATGTACAGCCAGTTAGCTTGATGCATTATGCTCCATTAACCCCTTTCCTGCCTAGAGAAAGATGGGAGACAGGCTGGAATGGGTATTAAGAGGAAATGTCCAATTAAGAAATACTCAGATTCATGGAAGGGAAAAATCTGAAATATTTTATTACTTTTAAAAGCCTACAGAAATAAAATCCAGCAAATCTATATATGCTTTGAATTAAAAGAGTTTAAAAAGAAAAGCAGACAAGTAATGTTTGCATAAAGCTGCAAATGGCAGGAGGCTGTTAACCTCAGTGGGCTTAGTTTATTAAAGGAGCAATGTATATGTATAGCACAGTATATGTCAGAGCTGTAACTAGAACCATCAGGGCCCAGTGCAAGAAACCATGAAGGGCCACCCTTACCCCTGACCAAGACCCTTCCCTTCGTTCCCAGGGGCCCTTTCCCACTGATCATGGGGCCCTTTACTGCTGTCGCAGGAGTCCCCTTCACAGCAGGACCCTTTCACATGTTCTACAGTGGGCCCCCCTTCCTGCCATCTTGAGCCACCCCAAAGTGCAATCTTTACAACCCTGGTATTTCTGCCACTAGTGTCAGTAGTTTTTTTTTATTTTTGTCATTTTTTAAAAAAAAATAATTTTATGTATTTTTTACAATTTTATTTTTTACATAAAAAAAAAAAAAAAAAAGCGCTATGTATACATACATCTTAACCTCCCTAGCGGGTGTGATTATGTCAATATTTCTGTGCTCAAAGCGGTACATTTTTTTGCATGGACATATGTATTTTTTTTATTGTAGGCCTGCAATTTTTAGGAATAACTCACTGAAATCTGTCCAAACAAGAGTCTAGTAAACATCCCGGGTATGATAAAATTTGAAACACGAAATCATAAATTATAATATTGTGACGGAAGCGTAGGCGGGGCAGAACACACAAAGAAGATGGTAAACACACAAAGCTTTATTGAACTATGGAACTACTTAATCAGGGTAGGAAGGTAGCATCCGGGTACCCAAAAAAGGGGGGGAAGAGGGGGTGGAGTCCAAACAGTTATAATCCGGCCCACGCTAGGGCGATTCGGGGTAGCGATGGCTCAAGCGCTCAGGGGGGCAGTCCAGGTAGCTACGATACTCCAGACACGCAATAGGCAGTCCGAGCAAGTATTAGTCCCGTCACACAATAGGGGCAGTTCAGGCAGCAATAATCTGGGCACACAATAGGGGCAGTTCAGGCAAGGGTAATCTGGGCACACAATAGGGGCAGTTCAGGGCACTTCTCAACATACGGCATTGTAGGGACGTAGGAACGGCAGGTGGCTTCCAGGGATACTCACGACAGATGGCTTGCAGACACTCAGCAGCAGGCGGCTTCCAGGGACACTCACAATAGGCGGCTTGGAGACACTCAGCAGCAGGCGGCTCCCCAGAGACACAGTGATCAGCAGACAGGGGGCAGCTTCCCAGGGACACAGCAATCAGCAGACAGGAACCCTTACGGTGCTCAGCTTTCTAAGGACACAGCGGTCAGTAGGCAAGGGCAGCTCCTCAGGGACACAGCGATCAGCAGACAGGGACCCTTACGGTGCTCAGCTTTCTAGGGACACAGCGGTCAGCAGGCAGGGGCAGCTCCCCAGGGGACACAGCGATCAGCAGACAGGGACCCTCACATTGCTCACCCTTCTAGGGACACAGCGGTCAGCAGGCAGGGGCAGCTCCCCAGGGACACAGCGATCAGCGGACACTTAGCGGGTCTGGGCTGTGGGGGTCTGGCCTCAGCGCAGACCCCACACAGCCATTCTCTTCTCAAGCAGGGGACCACAGGCTTGCAGGGACTCGGCAGGGTCTTTGCTGTGAGGTCTTGCCTCAGCTCAGACCTCGCACAGCACCCTGTCCCGAGCGGGGGACAAACACACGGGATGGGTCCCGCTCCAGCCTTCTTAATGCCGCCCCAGCAGACAATGAAGGATTGTGGAGTGTGGGAGTGTTGAGCCTACCTGGAGCAGCGCTACTTTCTCATTCTAAGTGAACAATCATTGTGCAAATTTAACAGTCTCTCCTTCAATATCAAACCACTGGACTATTTAAACTTTCATTCTATATGCTCTGGTGGTGTTTATACACACACAAAAAAACACTCTTCAGCGCTCATAGTCACTTAGTTAAATGTCAGTTTAGATGAAAAAAACAAAAGGTGACAGGCTTCCTTGCTCGCTTCTGCAACATATGGTAATTCAGGTGCATCTCAGGCCTTGCTGCCTTCTTCAGATATGGGGGATCCTGGAAACTGAATAAAAGAACACATGTAGGGCACACCAGTCTCAGACATTCCCTAAGGTACCATTTATTTCAATATATAAAAACAATGCAATATACTCACAAACCCAGTTTGGTATAGGGCTTAAATATATAAAATTAAACAAACAACAAGAGACTCAAACCACATCTTTGTGCATCAGCAACATCGCAATGCTGAATAAGACCCTAATGAATGTACACAAAATCAAGGCACAATACAAGAAAAGGTGGGAATCTGGGAGATTGTGATAGGTAGGGTGAAGGGGAAGAAGGAAAATTATCTGGGTGTGAACTTAGGTTTCCCTTTAACCAGCAAGAGTAGGCTTGCTAGCTAACTTGGTGGAGCTGTCAGATGATCAAAAGTGAATGGTCAAAGTCGCTAGATAAGTAATGTTCAGTCTAGGTGTAAGGGAATTCCTATACGGCAACTGGCGCATAGAAAGGAGCACGGGCTCATTGCTAATACAAATTAGCAAAAGGCTCACGCATGCACGCAAGAATGCGCACACACGGGTGCACGCACACGAGAGCGTTCCCACAGTTTCTAGCGCCAGACAGACTATTTAAAGGAAGCTCTTAATCTGTGTCAGTGCTGAAGAGCTAATTCCCTGTGTCCTTCTGTATCCTGTGTGTATCCGTTACTGACCCGACTTGCCATTGACCGTCTCTTGGATTCTGTTTATGCTTTTGCTCATCGGTTTCTGATCCTGGCTTCCTCCTGACCTTCTCTCTGTCTGATGTTTTGGTACTTCATCGCCTGCTCGTTGTTGACC